CACCATCCTGAAACTTCCTGGAGTTTCCCAAACTGGATCTGGCAACCTAGTCCTCCACACATACACACACCCAGCTAGGGGGGACCATAGCACCTGTATGCTGGTGAAGGAAGGGGCAAAGGATTCAGCCCATGGGAGGGGGGTGGAGGAAGGGGATTTGGTTTTCTTTGTGCTTCATTTAGGGAAATCCATTCCCATCCCTCTCTCCTCTCTCTGTCTCTTTGAAAAGTCTGCAAGACTGCCCAGCCAGATTCTGGTGTCCTTTTAAATGGAATTTGACGTAATTCTGTTTCCACTTGTAATGTTTAAGGATTAAATCTTTCCTAAAATATGTTCTAAAAGAATGCATTCTGAGCTTTTTACAAGGTTATGGTAGTAGGAAGAACTAAGGTATGCGATAGTCAAATGAAATTTTAAAAGCAAATATAAGTAAAGTTATACATATGACTTGTAATACAGCTAGTAGTTTATATTTCATGTTTGTATGTATTATTCTAAAAATATATTTAAAAGAATTCATTCTGAGATTTTTACAAGGTTATGGAAGTAATCTTCTAAAAGCTAATTTACATGATAGTCAAATGTAGACTCGCTCACAAGTAGACTCGCTCACAACTTTAATGCTACTAGGGTTTTTTTTGCTCACGAGGTAGAATTTCTGCTCACAACACTGTAGAGCTTAGAGGGAACATTGTCTGGGACCCTCATACCTAGGGGACTGTCTCTCCTGTTGCAACCCCATGTGCTCCCTTTGGTCTTCATCTAGGGGCTCCTTGCAGGTGCCGGACCCCAGGATGGCTTGGTTAGCTGTCACCAGGGGAAGGGCCTTCTCAGTTGTGGCCCCCGCCCTGTAGAATGCCCTCTTGGATGACACCTGTGTCCTGCCGGACTTGTTTCCACAGGGCATGCAAAGCTGAATTATTATTGTCAGTCGCCACGAGACCTTTTGGGTGAGTGGTGACTTTAAAAATCTAATAAAACAATTGTCTACTCAGACTGGTAGCAGCTCTCCATGGTCTCAGAAAGAGGTTTTTCACATCACCTACTGCTTGGAAATGCTGGGGATTGAACCTGGGACCTTCTGCATGCAAAGCCACACCCTCTCTCTTGGTTCACTTCCACTGAGCCACACCCCATCTTGGTTCTGTTTCCTGAAATTTACCCTTCCTCCTTTGTCTCATCCTGCCATTTTGCTTTTCTTTTGCATGTCCTATGCAAGCTGTGCCAGGCCACTGTAGTGCAGTGAAGGCATCACTCTCAGTGCCAACTGTTTTAGGCTTAGAACTGAATCATGGAAACATTTACTGCTTTACCACTGATATAGACTTTCTAGAGTCTGCCTGAGGCAGCTAACATAAAACAATAAAAATACCTTTCTTAAAAAAAGAACAACAACAAAATAACTAAGGAGCTAAACCTGCAACAGTCAAACCTGCCTGTTCTTTCTGGGGATGGGAGATGAAGCTTGATAGTTGTCCCTTGCAACAGGCTTGGGGTATCTTCAGTAGTCATTCCACTCTGTGCCCACATCCTGCTGCTCCTCTAGTAATTCTAGCCTCAGAGTGAAATCCAGGCTTGGGCTAGAAAGATTAACTTCATTGCATTGTTTATTATTAACCTGGATTATTTTTGCATTGTTTTCTAGTTCTAGAATCTCTCTTGAGTTTTAATAAGGAAGGTGGTAGACTATAAATGAAGTAAATAAATTCGTTTCATTTCACTTGTATCCTCCTTTTCCCGTCATTTTTGGCTGCTCACAAAAACCAGACTTATAGTAAGCAACAGATGTTACAGATGTTTATTTGTTTGTTTATATTGTTGAAGCATTTATATTCCGCCTTTCCTCAAAACAATAAACCATTTAAAATAATCCAGTTATAAGAAACAGCAGTGTAAGCCAGTCCCTCAGATAGGCAGGCCTCAGCAAGTAATAAAGCTTTGAAGGTCAGAACCAGCACTCTGGAGCGGTGTGTGTGCTAACATTAGTAGTCCAAAAGCAAAAATGTGTGTGTGTGTGGGGGGGAATGCTTGTTTTTTAAACATCTCCTGTTTTCCTTATGGTGCTGTAAATTCCTTCCACTCTGTTCCTTATTTAAATGCACACAGGAAAAGAACGTAGACCTTAATTACAGATAAAAACATGGTTGAAGATTCAATTAATGGAGCTGTTCATTATGTTTGTCCTTGAGAGAAACACAATATAAATTAGTGTAAACTTCCATAATTATCCCCAGACAAGCTCATACGAATTTTTAAAATATCAACAGATGGAAATGTGGTGCAGATCAAGCAGGATTTCTTCCATCTGTAGCATAGATGCCGTTACACACTACCCTCTTGGTCTTGTATCTTATGTATTGTCATCCAAACAACAGGTGTAAACTTGCAGCTTGATCCCTTGACTGTTGCTGGGTTATTTAGAAAAGAGTGATCAAGAGGCCTGTAGACTGCTTTTGTTAAATATTTTAGTAGTTGCTGAAATTGCACTGGAAAGCCACAGCGATTCCAATTATTAGTGAACAGTTAATCAAAGTATTAGAAACTACAAGCAGGCAAGCTAATGGATAATGTATTTTCATATATGTTGTTAGCCGCCCTGACCCTGCCAAATGGCGGGGAGGGCGGGATATAAATGTAAATATAAATAAATAAAATAAAACATTATGGTCATATTAAAAATATTCTGTCCTTCCCTTGTGGATCAGATTTATAATCCCAAAGTTTAAAACATACAAAATACAATAGAGCCACATTAACCCTCCTCAAGAAATGCCTGCAGTTTAAACCCTATAAAACCAGTTACAAATAAAACAGCCTTCCAGCGCATCCTGAACATGGAATCCTTCTCTCCTCCCCCAGGGATCCTGTTCCACAAGGTGGGAACCACTATAGACAAGGAACAGGCTGTAGGAGAAGCCAAATTGGGTACCTTAAGCAGAGGTACAACGAGCAATGTGGCAACCAGGACAATGTGGTTGGTGCTTGGGAAGCAGATGGAGAGAAATGGTCTTTCAGATAAGTGGATGCTAAGTCACAAAGGACTTTAAAGCTCCTTGAATTTGTAAACAAACTCACACCCAGCGTCCGGTGTTTTAAACATCTGAGATATGTTCCCATGGACTAGCCCCTGCCAGTTCTTGGGTTGCTGCATTCTGAACCATTGGTAGATTCTGAGGTGTCCCCAAGGAAAGTCCATTGTCGAGTCCGATAGCTAGATTGCAGAAGCATGGATTAGTGTGTCCAGGTTGGCTGACTCTTAAGAAAAGAGAGAGCCGTGAACCAAACAGTTTATAGAAGCCTCACTTGACCACTGTACCTGAATTCAAACAGCAAAGGTGGATCCATAAGTATTTCTGAGCTTACCCTGCTCTGTGAATGCCAGTTCTACTCCTTCCAAAAAAAAGTTGGATCCAGTCGTTCTCAGCGCACTGAACAAATGGATCTGGGCTTCTAGTCAGATTGGAAGAAAACTGCAAAAACATAAAACTCACCCTCTGTGTTTCTGTGTGTAATACCAAGTGCCAAAACTCTGTGTTTCTGTGTGTAATACCAAGTGGTTTGCGCAAGTCCTCAGACTTCCGTTTGCAAAGCAGTCTTTGCTTGCAGCCTTAGCAGTCAGCATCTAGATGTGTGTGACCTGTGAGGAATCACATGGGAGGGAAAATCCATTTGACAGATGTGATTCTTTTGTGCAGGAGAGTTGCCAATAAACATGCTTGACACTGCACAGGACTGTGGGGAGACTTAACTAGGCAGGGGCGAGATTCAGTTGGGTAGCCACATTGGTCTGAAGCAGCAGAACAAAGTTTGAGTCCAGTGGCACCTTTTTGTTGATCGTTGTCTTTGGATTTCTTTTGTTTTTGTTTTTTATTGTTGGTCTCCGACTTTGTTAGGCAGGGGCTGTGCTCCTTCTTCTGCCAACCTCTTCACTATTTAGCATTCTGACGGAGGCTGTTCCAACACTTTTCCTAGGGGTGGGGAACCTTAATTTCTCAGGCTCTGCACAACAGAAGGGGAACAAACTGCTGGCTTCTCTTCAGCTTGACTGTCACCAGACAGAATCTGGGTTTTCTCTGCTAGGATGATTTGGGAGTGCTTGCTGTCTTTTTTGAGAGCCCTTCCCCTCATTTTGTAGGCTTAATATGAAATCCCATATCTTTCTGTATGCTGGGGGACTTGGTTATGGCTATGAATAGCACCATGGTGCTGTGCATGTGTGTGTCTGCATGGTGTGGCTAGTACCATTTAGAAGCTGATGATGAAACGGGCTTTTGGCTTAATTGCACGGTTTAAAGAACGTGTTAGCAGTCTGACAGGTATTGAACATGAAATGCCTATCGGTGATGAGGCTTGGAAGCCAATGCTGCTTGAATAGAAGACGTCACCTGGGCAGTTGCTAATTTCACAGCTTTCGTTCGTTGACTAAGATTTCAAAACAAAGCAAAATGGGTCACAGAATGAAAAAACTGATTTAGTATGATAAATTAAATTTCCTCTACTTGGCCGGGCTGCCTCAGGGGGAGGGCAGAGTGGTAATATTCCTTGCATGTGTTGAAAGTCTGTGGTTAATGTCCTGTAAAAGAATTGGGGTGGTGGAGTGGGATGTACAAATCAAAAACTGAGTGGTTTTTTTAAAATCGTTTCAGGAAGGTGAAAAAATAATCCAGGATTTTCTTTCGAAAGTGAATGCAATGCCACTGAAAAACATGTCTGAGGAACAAATCAGAGTCAAGCTGAAGCAGCTCAAAGAGGACATCTTGGCAAAGAACAACAGCTTTGTGAATGAAATCATTTCCCGAGCTACAGTTCGTTCATGAGATAAAACGGCTGTACAAAACGACATTGAACTTGAGCTTTTTAGGCGCAGACTGCATGGCATAGCAGACTGACATAGTCCACCACCACCACCACCACCAGTTGCAGCTCTTTCCCCTCCCCCCTGTTTCTCCTCTGCTACTTTCTCCTGTCACACTCAGAAAGGCAGAAGGCCAGATGGGAGATCATGCTGTGCGTTTCCTTGCCCCTGCAAGAAGCAGCAGACAATGACCGATCAAGAGTAGGAAAGAAGAGACACAATTAGATTGGGAGATGGACCAGAGGTATATGTTTCAGCACCATCCATGCGCTGACAATAGTTCTTGCCTCAATAGAAGCAGATGTCTTTTTTCTGGACCAGGGGATGTGGGACCCTGATAATGCTTTGTAATGTTTTGTTCTGACTGCTAAAATAACTTTTTCCCCTCCATTTGGTTTTGAAATAGAGGTATTTGTTCCACTCACTGTTCTCTGTTTTATGACTTTGAATAAAACCGTGAGCTATTTTTCTGGCTAAAACGTGCTAATTTCATAGAGACACAAAAAGCAGAGGATTTTCGTCATTTGTGGTTAGAAGTACGTAGGGCTTGGAGCTATATGCATTTTAGGAATGGTGAAAAGTTCTGGACACAGATCCCACAGTATCACCTGATTTGGCCCTTAGTGAGTAGCACGAGTCTCCCAGAGGACTGAATTTCATGTTAATGAGGGTAAGCCGTTCATTTGTTGTGAACACCAGTCTCCCAGAGGACTGAATTTCATGTTATGACTGTGACTTCACATGGCTTTTGAACGTATTCTGCATTATTCTAATTCTGAAATTGCTACCTTAAAGTGAATAAAAAACTTTTGTCAAGATTTGCTGGGAAAAATAATTTTTGGATGTTACTTTATTCCATGGCAGCTTCCCCAAACTCTGGTTTTGTGCTTTGTTTGATTAAATGTTTTTATTCCTCCCTTTCTCTGGAGAAGCTCAGGGCAACATACATCATTTTTCTCCTCGTAACAACCCTGTGACCTGGGCCAGTCAATAATGGGGCAACTGCCCTGGGCCCATGCTGGTGGGGGGGGGGCAAGCTGAGGATACCCCCCCTAATGAGCAGCCCTGGTTGCCATTACCACCACCAGGACACCAGAGCTGATAACAGGAGGTACTGAGGCTAGAGGGGCTTACTGGGGAAATAGGCTGTTCCAAAGGGAGAGCGTTAAGGTGGGGTTAAAGTTAAGCTTAAAGATTAAAATAGAAAGCAAGTGAGGAAATAAAGGGATAAAAAATTCAAACCATAGAGTTAAGGTGGGGTTAATCTTAAAGTTAAGCTTAAAGTTTAAAATAGAAAGCAAGTGAGAAAATAAAGGGATAAAAAATTCAAACCATATTGATTGGTTGTACGGGAGAAGAGGGCTGGTAGAAGGTAGACTGTAGTTGCAGTCCCATTGTTCTGGAGTAGGACAGCAGAAATCTCCCCTTCTCATGCAACATGGGTTTTCCTCTGTTCCCCTATATTATCAGGACTAAGTGTTAAATGTTTTCTGGAGAAATCCCATCCTCCCTGTCCAAAGATGTGTACATGTGCTTAAGAGGATTGGATGGTTTTCCTGGCTTTCCCCTGTGTTGCAACTGGGGAGTTAACTTTTTCTCGTGTGTGTATGTGTGTGTGTTTCCCCCTTCTCAGGGCACTTCTGCACTGTAATTTTTGTCACTCATTTCTCCCTATTGCTTTGGGGTCCCCCCCCCTTTCCATGTGTTTTTTGCTCCCTCTGGGACTATTAGAGAGAGCAAAACACATTGGGGGGGGGAACCCTGAAGCAATAGGGACAAACGAGTGACTAAAATGACCGGAAGTGGCCTGAAGATGCAATGTCTGCTGCACCTCACCCACTTTCTCCAAGCTGGTTGCCTCTTCTGACTCCCATCTGAAAAACAGACGGCTTCTCTCTCTGTCTCCATCTCCAAAAGAGGCAGCCACAAAAAAAGAGCTGAGGGGGTTTCAATAAAAGAGGAGGTTAAAGATTACAATAACTACTCTAATCAGGACATGAAATGTGATGCAGATGGAGGCAGTTTTGATCCACACAGACATGAACTGCTTCAGCCATTACTTTGACAAATGAAAGATACAGATCACATCATACCCATCTGTGGCCAGGGAAGATGGGATTTCACCTAGCCCTGATAATTAAGAAAATTAAGGGCTTTATGATCCTTCTTGCAGGTGACTGAGCAAGTAATTACACAACTCTACCTATGCACACAGGCAGTTTGAGATGATGGGGTGGTGGTGGTGGTTAGATCTTTAAAAAGAAAAGTGCTGGTGTCTGGAGCCACAGGGACACTGGCAATTTTTTGTGCTAGCCGATGGATTAGCTAAAAAAGGTTGCAGATAACCATGTTGGTCCCTTGGGAAATCCCCAAACTTTACACACTGTTTTGTGATTTGCCTTGAGTCTCTGGCTGATTTCGCACTAGAGCTGCCTTGATGTTGCGTCGCCGTTTGCCCCGATACTATTGGTCAATTTCACACCTGAAGCTGCGGGGCTGCATTTTGACTCGCTGCTTCACCCGATTTCCCCCGCAGTTTCGTGATCCTGTTTTTTTCACACCCGCGGCCTGGGGTGTGAAATTGACTAATAGTATTGGGGCAAATGGTGGCGCAACATCGAGGCAGCTCTAGTGTGAAATCAGCCACAGAGAAATGGAGGAGAAGGATGTTGCTCCCATTGGGAAGAAATGTGGGGTGTAAGTGAAGTGTGTAATAGGGACACAATCCCGGAAAGTGCTGGGAGTAGACATCATGAAGAACTTAAATTCCCATTATGCCCTGGAATCATGGAGACATTCTTGGCTGACAGGAAGGGAGAAAGGCCCCAAAGAGCACTTCGGTCGGGGTCACAACACCGCCTAGTGACCCCGGGCCCTAAAGAGGCCAGGCTTGCTGCAACAAGGGCCAGGTCCTTTTTGGTGGCGGCTCCTACCTGGTGGAATGAGCTCCCGGAGGAGATCAGGGCCCTGCGGGACCTTTTACAGTTCCACTGGGCCTGCAAGACGGAGCTCTTTCAGATCAGGGCCCTGCGGGACCTTTTACAGTTCCACAGGGCCTGCAAGACGGAGCTCTTCCGCCAGGCTTTTGAGTAGGAGTTGCCGCCACTATTGCCACCATCGTGGACTGCAGAGCAGTTCTGCCAGGGTGGGCTGATTAGCCACCCGGAACATCTTGGTCCACACAAATATGGTATTTTTAGATTTGGGTATATTAGATCTGAAAAATATCAGTATTCCCAAACTGCAATACTGGTATGGTATTTGAAGTCTGGATTTTTCAGGAATCTTGAATTTTTTTCACCTCCATTATACCATATGGGGACCGTTACAGTCAATGGGAAATGTATCCAGGGATCTGGGGGCAATGTTCCCTCTAAGCTGAGTTAGCATGAGCCAGCTCAGTTTTTTAGCCACTGGCTCATGTCTTCGCTCAGGAAGGATGGCTCCAGAGCAAACTAATTTATGCAGTAGCCAAATCGCTCACTCACAACTTCAATGCCAGTAGCTCACAAAGTAAAATTCTTGCTCACAAGATTCCACAGCTTAGAAGGAGCATTGTCTGTGGGGGCTGTTTTTTGAGATAGAGGCACTAAGTTTGCAGCAGAGCTATAGGTCCCACAGAAGAACCCCCAAGTTTCAAAAAGATTGGCCCTGAGGGGTCCAATTCTGTGGGCCCCCAAAGAAGATGCCCCTATCCTCTATTGTTTCCAATGATGGGGGGGAAGCAAAAGAACCAAGGGCAATTGAAGCCCAGCAGAACAGAATTAAAGTCCCAGAGAATCTCTGCAGTAGAAACAGAAGGTGTACGTGTGTGGGGGGGCATTTTTGCAAGCCCAGCAGAACCAGTGTAATGTACAGAGTACCCAACAGTATGAGTGCAATCACAGAGTGCTCAGCAGAATCTAGTGCCATGGCAATGCCAGTTCAACAGGACTGATGTCAAGCACAGAATCACAATCTAAGCCGGGGGGTGCTAGCCCAGCAGAACCAGTGCAATGTAGTCCCCAGCCAGCAAAACCCAGTGCCGCCCTGGCAATACCAGCTCCACAACAAATCCAAGTATGTGTGTGGGATTTTGCAAGAATCCAGTACCACTGCCAATTTAAAAGGATTGATCTGAAAGCACATAGTCACAACAATTTCGAGCAAGGGGTGGGGTGGAGATTTTGCCAGCTCTGTGCAAGAAAATGGGAAGGGAACACAAAGGAACTAGAGGATAAATTCTCTTGAAACTAACAAGACTGGCCCAAAGAAACTGGGGGAGACAGAAACAAAAAAAGAAAAAGTAAGCAAAAATAGTCCCCAGAAGCCTGCAAATGCTGGCTCCTAGTCTTCCTGGAAAATCCAGAATATATCTGGGATTTGGGGTGGCTTTTTTCCAGTTTTCCAAAAGGGATCTCAAATATACCTGAAAATACCACTAAGGCATTTTTTGGTATATTTTCTGTTCAGGTGTATCTGAATGCACACCCCTAGCTGCTTCTGTTCTAAAATCAGAGCAGTAGTTCCCAAGATCACTTCGGAGGGCTTTTTTGCCCCCTGAGAACTAGACTTATGTTTAACATTTTTTCCCTTGCTTTTCTGTCTGAGCAGCAGCAACTTCTGCCCTGGCGAAGAGACTGAAGAATGGAGGTGGGGGGGAATTGCTTTGGTGTACGTATCTTACTGATTTAAATATTTATCTACCCCAGTTTTCTCTGCAATTGGAAACCCAGAATGGCTTACAATGTTTCTCCTCTAATCCATTTTATATTCACAACAACTCTGTGAGGTAGATTAAAATTAATGAGATGGGAATAAAGATAGTATTGGGGTAGTGGTCTTTGACTTTTATTCAGGGCCTCAGAATTACTAAGATCACCCTTAACTGTGAGGTTAGTTCGGCTGAGAGAGTATGATTCTTTGGGTGACTTTGGCCCAGCTTTAAGGCAGAATGGGGATTTCAACCTGAGTTTCCCAGACCCTAGTCTGGCATTCTTAAAAACACCACCACACTGGCTGTCCTTTTCTAAGCTTAGAAGCACAGGATGTTATCTGGTCTGCTGATCTCATTCTATGCCGATGTGGTGGATTAAATTGAATGGATTATGTGGTCCAAGATGGGCCTAACGTTTTCTCCAGTACATGTGAGTGGAAGCCACTGTAGGCTGAAAATGAAGTCTGACAAAAACTGGAAAAGGGGGGGGGAGGAAAAACTCAACCCAAGATAACACTGCAAACCAGAAGGGTTAAGCTGACCATATATATTATAAAAATACAAAATTTATTAGGGTGTACACATATTAAAATATATTCGGGTTAATTTTTTTTCAAGTATCAGACTAATAAAAGCATATCAAATATTAATACACATGATGGGTCAACACTTTCCAACTGAAGACCAAACGCGTTTCAACCTCAAAGGGCCTTCCTCAGTGGTCACTATACAACGTAGTATATACACACATTCAAACATATGTATACAAGATCTTTAGTACACTTATTTAAAGACCAGATGTTGTATCCTGAAATTATAAAAATTGAGGGGGGGAAAGAGGAGGGGAAAAGAAACTTAAATTATTATTACAAATGTATACTAAATCCTTATTAATTTAAACAATTGATTTTTTCAAACAAGAAT